TGTGTGTGTGTGTGTGTTGACTCGAGCATCTCGCTTCGTCGTCATCTGTTTTCGCCTGACGTTTCACCCAGAGCGACCCGCTCGCCAATTACCAAAACACTAGTTCGAGCTTCTTTGCATTGCCAAATGCCAGCCCTAGTCGTGCCTCGTGCCCTTGTCCCTTGCCCTTGACAACGTCGACACTCATTCTACCCAGCAATACTCCACCAAATTACTATTTTGATACAGAAAGTGGTGCTTTTCTATGTGATCCTTAGTCTATTTTTTTCATGGCTCAAATGAGCGAAATTGATACTAGAACTAGTGCTGAAAATGAGGAGCAGCAGTTGCAACATTTTTCCAAAAATGACTCTCAATCAACATCGTCTTTCAATTCGGTAATTTCTGTGACAATTCGTTCAGCTGCATTTCTAATCATTTTACTTCAACGACAGTTTAATGATAAGGAGGAGATACGAAGGAGGCTAGCATTCGAAATTGATGATGATGATCCAATTGCTCAGTACAAGCTGAGTCGCAAGTCGCGTAAATCACTGTCGGCGCGCATGCAAAATATCGATAGCTTACAAATATGCTTTCTCAATGAGAATAATGTAAGTGGAACACTTTGGAATAACTTGTTATTGAATTGTTCAAAAATGGTTACATTTTTGCAGGAAAGCTATACATTTGAAGACTTGAACAATCACTCGAGTGTCGACAACAACAATGATATCATTATGCAAAACCGAATCTACTACTTATTTAAGAAACTGCAGAAGGAAGACTTTGATTTAGACAAAGTGTGTCTATTTAGTGATATTGAAAAGCCAAATGACAAGGCCAAGTTTCCTGAGTACCATTCAAAGCTGTACACTGAGGCGAAGCTGGCACTGTCTCAGGTGAGTTGGCTCAAAACACTGCCTAACTTTCAACTGTATAAGCTTACAACTTCTCCACAGGTTAAAGAAATATGCAAGCTTCGAATAAAGTTAGAGAAGCAACATGAACAAGATCTTACGCCGTCAATTTACGATCTAATTCACAATTTGCCAAGTGACTTTCAAAAAGACGTCTCAAAGTTTAACAGGCCGATTCTGAAGCGTCTTCGAATTTCTGAACTGCAATTAATTGTTAATGACATGTTTAGCAAAATTGAAAGTAAGCACTTGTGAAATTAATCAGGTGAAAATGTGAATTTGTAATGTTGTTTTAATTTTAAATAGATTTAAATGGGAGCCTGGTTAAAATGTTAATTCAGCGTGATGAACTCTACATGGAGCAAGACTCGCTTCTTGTTGACATTGAAGATCTCACCAAGTTTCTGTGAGTATTTAGTTGGTGCCTAAGTTGAACACTTTAGTAAATGTTCATTTACAGATTATCAAAGTAAATTAAGAAAGAAAAAGAATATCAAGTTCTGTACATAATAACTCGCCAACCTTCGTTAACAATAAAATAAGAATAACAACTTTGATCACAATGAACAAACCCTAATCACACTCGATACCGACTTCTTCCAGAAAGGCCTTTTTCGGTTTAGAACAATGTTCCAACATTGAATCAATAGCTTCTGAAGCTATTCTCTTGCGTTTCCTCATTTCAGTTTGCAAAGTTTTGTGTGCATTATTGACTTTCTTCTGGTCGTCAGGATTGACGTTCTTGCACCTCTCTTTGTAAGACTTTAACTTGTCTCTAGATTGCGCAGTTTCCTTTCGAATCGTTTTAATTTTGCTTTCCAGTTGCTCCATTGGAATGTGTTCTTTTAGCGTTTTCTTCTTTTTCTCCTTTCCGTCAACTGACTCTTTGAGTTTGCTCATCTTCGAGTTGAGTTGACCAATCAGGAGGTCCATCTCTTTGAGCTTTTCATGATCGACTTGAATGTTTCCTTGGTTAAAAAAGTATATTTTCTGTTTTCCATTGACGCGTTCGCAGACGATACTGTCGGCCACCAAGGCGTCCAGTGCTTTTACAACGGTCGCTTTGTTGAATTTACTTTGCAAGTTGTTGACAATGTCATTTGAGCTGTAAGGGCGATTGGTCTTCTTGAGGTACTCTTTCACCGCCTTCGTCGACTCTCCTGTTGACTTGCTCATTGTGATGTCGGGAATTGACGGAGATTGGAAAAGAATCGCAAAGAAAAGCCGGCGACCAATCGTGAACTGTCAAAAATAGAAACAAACAGAAATCGTAGAAACTCGCCAAACGTACGTTGTAAATGGATATTTCCACTCCAGGTGGCGCGTCTGTGCAATTGTGCACGTGCTTTTCTTCTGCCGCNTGAAACAAACAGAAATCGTAGAAACTCGCCAAACGTACGTTGTAAATGGATATTTCAACTCCAGGTGGCGCGTCTGTGCAATTGTGCACGTGCTTTTCTTCTGCCGCATTTTGTTTTGAGTAAACAACTTTGCTTCAAATTTTGAACTTTTGACACCACAAATAAACACTGTTCCAAAATGGGTGGCAAGAAGAAAGTCCGCAATAATAATATACGAATGAAACTGGAAGAGAAGAAGCGGCGCGAAGTGAAGCAAAGAAATGAAATGAATCCATTTGAACTGAAGCGCAACAAAATCAAACATCAAGTACTTGGCCGAAAAGTTGCCAAAAATGAATTGGGAAAACCCCTTCTAAGCCGATCCCGAGGATTTCAAAAACGGTCGCAGACTTTGCTTGAAGAATACCGTAACAAAGATAAGAGCGGTCGAGGAGTCCAGGATTTGCGCGACACAAATACTGACGAGCGGATCACCTCAAAGTACAAAGAAAGCCAAAGGGAAATCAACTTTGGTCAAGCAGAAGAGATTAAGCTGACTCACAAAGGCAAACCACTAGACGACTTTATTGATGATCGACTTTCATCAGATGACGAAGATATTGACTTGTTCAGCCGAGATGACTTTGTGGAACGTACGCACTTTGGTGGTGGAGATGACGGAGCTCCTCGAAGCTCTCGGGACGTGTTACACGACATCATGCAGGAGAAACACGAAAAGAAAGCAGCAAAGGAAGAGGCAGTTCAGCTGACTGAAAAGCTCGATTCACAGTGGAGTGAGCTAAAGTCCTTGATGCAATTTAAAGGGCCGAAAATTCCAGGCGACAGCACTCGCGATGAATACGACAGTCTTCTTACTCAACTCATCTTTGAGGGCAAAAAGCCTGTCCAGGAGGACCAGAAAAGTAAAGCTTCTCCTGAAAAAGCAGCTGTTGGCAAAGTTATAGAAAATGAGCTTTCTCAAATTGCCAGCACTCCCGATGCGATGCTGAAAGCCAAGCTCAAACAAATTGACGCAAGTTCGGACGTTGAGACCGTCGTGAAGCTGCTGAAGGAGGCAATGACTCTGTTGCCTAGTGTCACTAGAAAATCATTTGACATGCTGAAAGATCGGCTACAGAACTGTGTTTCCTCTCGACTCAAGTTCACCCCCAAGGAGATGGCTTTGCTGATGATGTGTGCCAACTTCAAAGAACTACAAGTTTTAACACACTTGCTCATTTTGCGAACACTAAGCAAGTTAAAGTACAGTAGTTACCATGAAGTAGCAGTGTCGTTGTTCCTAAACAACTTTCTCCTTCGCAGTATCACTAGCCAGGCTTTCTACCCTGAACTGTTTATTCACGTCCACAATCTCATTCGTTTGTGTTTGCCACAAGTGAAAGTCAAGTTGGTGCTCTTCACTCGCCTTGATTATGAAGCCGAATGCATTCTCAGTACTGCCAAATATTGCAACAATCAGAAACTGGCCCAATCGTCTGAGCTTACAGTCACCCCATTCACTCTTTTTGACCGCGCCTTTGTGGATCACTCCAAACTCGATGACAAAACACT